AATTCTTATATAATAAGTATCCTAAATCTTAAATAACGAGTTACTCTATTGTTTATTTGTTTAAGTTATGTAAATTATTTTAGATGTTTCTTCTTTTAAATCTCCAATTAAGTATTACATTATGTAAGACTATATACTAATTTTGAAAATTAAAAAAGCTAAGGGGGGCGAATCTAATTAAATTATAAAAGTTTTATGAAAATATTACATATATGGTAAAAAAATTGAATGTCCAAGGGGGGCGGTCGCCCCCCGCCCCCCTTCCCCCCTAAATCCATCCCTGCTACGAAGCATTGAAGAACGGCGGCGCGTGGAAGGGAGATGTGGAGATTGTGGAGATTGAAGGGTTTGGACATGGATTTCACATTTTAATCCTAGTCATTCCAAGGCTGGGATTGTTACTCAAGATTTGATCACTTTCTTTACCCAATTGTAAGATTTAATGATGTGTTTCTAACTCCCCTGATGATAATGAAGGATTTGGTGCTCAAGATTTGAGCACTTACAAACATGTGACTATGTGAGACGACCATGCGACTTGAAGGATGAAATACAAAATTTGAATACAAGATCAGATCACATTCTAAATTGATGTTTACGTTTTAACTGATTTGTATTACGTAGTATTATATTCAATTTAGAAATAAAACTGATTTGGATTTGCTTTTTAATGTTAAAATGTCATGTTTAAATGATATTAAAAATCATAGGCAATCGTGATACAAGACAGAAGATATAAGAATATTAATTCAATCATAAACTAGATAGGATAACCTAATCAAACTCGACCAAAGTTACATAGTAGTATATGAGATCAGACGTCGAGAGTATACTTACAGTTGAACATACCAAAATTGACCAGACAAAACATAGATTAAAGATATACTACCTTATAACATGGTCAATCAGATCAAGTTGAAGTTCTATACTTCCTTGATCAATTCCTTTGCCACTAAAAGTACGACTACAAATGGGCAAACCAATGAGTCTCTAAGAACATCCACTGTGGATGGTCATTGGAGTTCAAAAAAAAAATTATCCCACTTGATCCCCACTATGGAAGGTCAACGAAGTGATCGATCAAAGTGGAAGGTTAATAATGAGTTCTGACAAAAAAATTGTGAGTAACCAATTAAAAAAAGTCATGTGGCTTTTTATTTAGTCCTAACTCCCTAATTTCATTTATTATTGATTAAATTTAATTTATTGTAAAACATTATACCAAAAAATTAGTTTTTTTCCTCTATAAATAGACACCAATAAAGGATATGTTTAGTCACTTTGAAATTTATCACTTCTTTCCCTCTTGCATCTTATTTTATCTGTTTTAGAATATTTTCCTTTGAAAATGGACCGAACTCGTTCTCTACCTAGATACAATGCCAACAATAAATAATTATAGTGGGTCAAATGTGGATTTTATATACCGTTTTTAAATGATATAAATTAATAATTGTAGAATACACCAAAAATATGGATAGAGAATGTACATTTTAAGTGACCTAGGTCACCATAGTGTGGAGAAAGTGTGATAGGCTAGAGAGGATTAAGTTTTTGGTGGAAAATGATGTAGAAGAGAGAGGAGGGGATCAAAAGCCTATTCGATTCGAAGGAGGGGAAGCGAGGGAAGGAGAGACTCAAGGAGGTTGGGGGGAGTTTGATAAACATCTTTTTTTGGTATGAGGAAAGGGGAAATGTTTAATACGTAGTAGAATAAATTTCTCAATTTATCCTGGTTTTGCAAACCTAGATAAATATAGAGTTCGTTTGGTATCACTCAAATCGGCTCTATTGGCTGATTGTGTTGAAATTATGAAATTATGGCCGAAGTGACTGCATTGATTGATTCTGCTGAACTATGAAAAAAATTAAAAAAATATTTTTATTACTCTATAATAAAATAAAGAAAAAATTATATGAAAAACAGCTAAAATGATTCTCTACAATAACTTTTTCCAATAGAGTCAGAAACATTGTTACAACAATACTTTTTCTTATAATTACACAATTCAACACGTTAAATCAAAAGTTATGTGTTTGGTGAAAAAGTTGAATATAAATATTACTGCCTCCGTCCCTAAGATTTGGACAAGGGAAGGTGACACGATTATTAAGAAAAGTGGGTTTGTGTGGTTGATATAGGGGTGGACTCGGGTCGGCCGCCCGGCCCGGAACCGGACCGGCCCGGTACTGTTTGGGCCCGACCCGGCCTGGTACCCGGTCTTGGGGACGGTTCGGGCCAACCGGAACCGGTCTAATCCCGGTGCGGGCTCGGTCCCCCCAAATGGCGAACCGGCCCAGCCGGTCCAGCCCCGATTCGGGCCAATTTTTTTTGTTTCTTCAATTTATTTTTTACTTTCTACCGGGTTGGACTGGTTGTTTGGGGGGGGGGGGGTCGGGGGGTGAGGAGGGGGGGGTCGGGGGTGAGGGGGGGGGTCGGGGGTTATTTAGAAAATGAAAAGAAATTAAAAAAATTGAACCGGAAACCGGCCTGGCCCGGGACCGCCGGCTACCCGGGCCGGTTCCGGTTCCCTACTTCCCAAACAAAAGCCCAGCCCGAACCGGAACCGGCCCGGCCCAAACCGGAACCGGTCTGGCCCGGGTCCACCCCTAGGTTGATATTAAATTGATAAAGTAAGAATAAAGTAAAAATGATTTAGAACCACACAACTTTACCAAATTTGATATGAGACAACCTTAGTGGGATTTCTTGAAAAGGTAACATGAGAAAATCTTAACGGGACGGAGAGAATACTATGTAAGTTCAGTAAGTCGGTTAAATAAATTATTTAAAAACACTGCACTTTATATATATATTAAGCACAATGTTTTTCAACTCCGCATAAAAACACTTACTGATCAAATTCTAACCTCCCTCCATCTCTTAAAAGTTTGTCAAAATTTGACCGGCACGAGGATTAATAAAGTAAAAATTGAGGTTGAATTTTGTGCAGAGGAGAGAGAATTATATAGAACCACAAATTCAGATAAAGTAACGAAGTTAATGGAACAAAAAAAAAACTGAAAAGTGGAGAATTTTCTTCTACTTTCCTCCAACTTGTTTTTATTAGAAATTTTAATAAAAATTAAGATTGTTTTGTTTCTAATGGGACTAACTTATTAATAAAAATGGGAGGCCCTCTTAGTAATGAGCCCGATTCAGTGGCAACTAGCAACAACTAAACATGGACCCGTCCAGGCCTGCATTTCGAACCATGTCCCTCAGTTTGAATTATTGTCCTTTTTTTTTATCATCAAATTATACATATTGGTTCCAAATTACAAGTAATAATATTATGGTCCAACGGCGTTTGCAACGATGTGGTATAAAGCAACGTGTCACTTGAAAGATGAAGGGGGTGTATTGTATTAGGAATTAGTGGCAAAATTTTAAAAGTCCATGGATATTAATAGTTTAGGTGTATTCAATGTGGACTTTTAAAAGTCCACAAAAGTTTAGGTGTATTCAATGCGGACTTTTAAAAGTCTATAAAAGTCTAGGTGTATTCAAATTTCCGTTCATTCTCATTGACTTATAAAATCATGGATTCCCGTAGACTTTTAATTCATTTTTAGTGCAAAAATTCTCTGCAATTGTCTCTTCTCCTCACCAAAGATTTCCGTGGACTTTTCTTATATCGGTTCTTCATCCCGTCCCACCTCATTCCTCCCCTCCCTCCTAGTGATGGACCGGGCCCGGCCCGGTTTCGGTTCCGAGTTGGGCCCGGCCGGGCTTGGAATTTTTTGGGTAAGGCCCGAGACCGGCCTAGGAGTCTATTGGTACCGGGCGGGGCTGATTCATTTTTTGGGTTTTCTTATATATTCCAACCCTCACCCCCTAAACCCCTCCAAAACACTCAGCCCAACCTACCTACCATAGGCCCAACCCCCCCCCCCCCCCCAAAAAAAATAAGGCCCGGACCGGGCCCGAACCGGCCGGGCTGATCCTCAAATATGCAGTCCTGGAACCGCCCCAATTACCCCCCCCCCCCCCCCCCCCCGGGTCGGTCCTAGGCCCGGTACCCACCGGGCCGGGCTTAATTTAATTTTGTAGAATTTTGTGTTGCTATATGAATTACATTTTTCTCATTTATTTATTTATTTATTTATTTATTTATTTATTTATTTATTTATTTATTTATTTATTTATTTATTTATTTATTTATTTATTTATTTATTTATTTATTTATTTATTTATTTATTTATTTATTTATTTATTTATTTATTTATTTATTTATTTATTTATTTATTTATTTATTTATTTATTTATTTATTTATTTATTTATTTATTTATTTATTTATTTATTTATTTATTTATTTATTTATTTATTTATTTATTTATTTATTTATTTATTTACTTATTTCTTATCGTACTCCGTATTATATAGAGGAAATCACTTACGGTAGGACTAAAACATAGCATTATTCTTAAAGTGTAATTAAATGTTTGATTTTTCTTAAATAGGAATAAATATTACATATTCACCCCTAATTTAATTAATTAATTAATTAATATAATTAATTGTCCCTAGCTCCCTTTCACAACCAAAGTCATTTTGTTGGTGACGCGTCAGTCCGATGACGACAGCGGGGAACTCCGGTGATGGAGGCGGACAGGTCACATTCATATCGGTAGCGACGATCTAGGTGAAAATTTTGACGACCAGCAGTAGCGGTCCGCATTTAAAAGTCAATGGACTTTTTGAAAGTCAATAAACTTATCCATGAATTTAAAAGTCCATAAAATTCATTCATAAAAAGTCTATGGATTTAAAAGTCCATGGATTAAAAAAAGTCCACAACAATCTATATTGAATACACCCCCCGAAAACCATGATCCGTTATTAGGTTATTAGCTTGATAGCACTGAATATGTTCCATATGATAAAAATAATGCTCTTTTGTAATAGAACGAGATTTTGATGTATATAGTTAGGTTTTTTTTGTAAAAAAAATAAAAGAAAAAGGAGGAACTTAAAATAGATTTACAGCTACAGAGATCGAAAGAACATAATTTTTAATATATTAAATCAAAATAGCATTCGTCACATGATTGATAATATAATAAAAAAAAGTAAACAAAATGTTAAAAAGCCTTATGTCCGCCGTCCGCTCTCGAACCAGACTGAGAATCCATCACCGCTGTAGAAGCAATAACATTCGCGGATCCTGTAATGGGCTTAACTGAGTCAATGACTGGAAAACCAAACTTCTCATCACCTAACCTAAATTCAAGAATATCTCTACTAGGAAAAAGTAACACGTCCAAAACAAAATGCAATTCGACAGAAAAACAAAAACTGAATCAAATGGAATTAAAATAGAGTTCATCCATCTTCTTCCAAATCCTAGATTTGCTTGCACTCCAAGGTGGTGGCTCAGGAGGGGGACGCGCCCGGCGCTCATGCGCCACAACCTTAACATCAGCTTCATTTAGATCCAGTTCTTCTTCCTCTGCCCCAATCGTCATCTTCTTGTACTTGTCCACGAAGCTATCCATGTAAAGCTGTTGCTTTAACCTTCTGCCAGAAACTTCGAACCTGCTCCCACCTCCATAACCGGCGACGGGCAGAACTTCAAATCGAAAAAACCTAGCAGAAAACAAACGACGATCAACCTAGCATAAAACAAACGACGATCAACCGCGCTCATTACAGCGCTCATTACATCTACTGTAGACGCAAAATCAGCAACCGATGCCGCGACCAGAGAGGTTGCCACCGAACAATCCCCTGGGAAAAGCTCTAGGCGGCGGCGGAAAAGCCCTAGGAAGCTAGAGAGAGAATTACTAACCTAGACTTAGGCCTGTTAATGGGTCGGGTCTAGACCCGGACCCGACCCGAACCCGATTATTTTTAATGGGTATGTGTCTATGTTTTATTCCGTTTACCCGGACCCGTTAATATTTTTAATAAATGGGTCGGGTATGGTACATATGATTCCGCACCGTTAAGGACCCGGACCCGTTTATAATTTTTTATTAATATATATTTCATATACTAATATAGTAATACATACCTAAAACTAGTATCCCATTAATACATATTAAAACAAACTGGGATATTCTGTTTTAGTTTTTTTTATTTCACTATCAAAGACATTCAATACGTTTGGATGAAAGTACTGGTTTCTTACGTGAACATCAATTTTTTTTAAAAAAAATAAAGAAGTGTTTTACTTATTACTCCGTATTAAGGATGATTGAGATATAGATGTAGCTAGTTTGTGGAATTGCATTACATTCATGATTCATATACACGTTCTGTTTTATATTTGGTGGGTCTAATCTTCCAAAATATATGGCGGGTCTACCCGTTCCAGACCCGAGACCCATTGGGTCCGGGTCCGGGTCCAAAATTGCAGACCCGACGGGTAAATGGGTCCGGGTCCCTTATTTACTTAGCGGGTCCGGATCTGGAACACTACAATCCGGCCTGGACCCGACCCATTGACAGGCCTACCTAGACTTTCACTATTGAATTATTGTCCTTTTTAGAAGGATAAATTATTGTCCTTTTTAGTTCTTAAAAGGGAAATATTTAATTAATGAAAAGCCAACCGACCTCGTTTGCAGATGATCATATTTTCTTACTACCGTAACGGTTTTAATTGAAAACTTCAATATGTCCCTAATTTAGACATAGATCTTCATGGGTTTTTTGCACTGAATAAGTTTTGGGTTTTTTACAAGAATATTACTAAATTAAAACTTATTTACATAAATACGACTATTCATTACTACAACGTGGTGTTGTAGTAACTTAAGTTCAAAACTTGATCATGAATTACTATGATTTCATTACTACTCTAGTAACTAGTCATATTTTTGTAAACTATCTTTATTTTGGTCATATTCATGTAATTATTTCTAATTTTTTGTTACATTTAGTTATTCTGTTCCCATTTTTTTCAAATCAAGACAGGGTCGGCTTGCATAAAATTTTCAGTAATTATCTTGAACTATATAAAAAAGCAAACGAGAAAATTAAAAAAAATAAAAAAAAAATTAAAAAAAAAAATCAATTTTTTTTGTCACCGCTGCCTCTGCCGCCCCAGCACCACCACCTCTAGTCATTTGGGGAAAAAATGCCAAATTTATTATGAATTCCATATTTTTGGCATAATTCAGAATGATTTAAGATGGAAGAAAAAGAATGTTGGCATTGTCAAAGAGCAATATGCCATATTTTTGGCATTTTCCGAAAAAAATGAAAGTTTGTAGGAAATACGACATTTTTTTTAACGGTCGGAGGTGGTTGTGCAGGGAGGCGGTACCACCACCTCCTGTCACCGAGGTAAAAAAATGCCAAAAAAATTATGAATGCCATATTTTTGGCAAAAGTCAAAAGGATTCAAGTTGACAGAATGAAAATGTTGGCATTCTCATAGAGAAATATGCCATTTTTGTAGAATTTAAAAAAAGTGGCATTTTTTACACCGATCGGAGGTGGTGGTTCTGGGAGGTAGTACAGGCGATGGGAAAGGTATCCATATTTTTATTAATTTTTTTTTGGAGTTTTACTATTTTTTATTAATTTTCAAAAAAAAAATAATTTTTTTTTCTTATTTTTTATTTTATAAAAATTTTATTAATTTTTTTATTATGTTTCTACGAATTATTGAAATTTTTTCGAATTTATTATGAATTAAACATTTAATTATGACTTTTAACTATCTTTTACTAATATTTAAAGGAGGGGTAAGAATGGAAGGAAGAAATGAGTATGCTTCCAATAGGACCACTATGGTCCTATTTTGGAATAAAAAACACAGCAAGTCCTATTTTGAGTTTTTGTCATAGTTTTAGTCCTATTTGAAGTAATTTCTATTTATTTATTTATTTATTTATTTATTTATTTATTTATTCATTCATTCATTCATTCATTCATTCATTCATTCATTCATTCATTCATTCATTCATTCATTCATTCATTCATTCATTCATTCATTCATTCATTCATTCATTCATTCATTCATTCATTCATTCATTCATTCATTCATTCATTCATTCATTCATTCATTCATTCATTCATTCATTCATTCATTCATTTATTTATTTGTGCATGTAATATTAACAATTTGAATAATAGAAACTTTTTTTAACTTGAATTTGAGCCCAAGTTCGAGCATCCTATTTGATCTCAGCTCAAAACTATAAAAGTTAATTAGCAAAATATGACCCGAGCTCGAATCGAGATCGAGTTGCGCTTGAAGAGAGTTCGGCTCGAGTTCTAGCCCGAATTAGTTAGCTCATTCAAGCTCGAGTTCGAACTCGTGAATTGTTATGAAACTTAAATCAAATTCCAACATACCCATATTCAAGCTAGCTCGCTCATCATTTGGATCCCCAATACTGTCCAACCGGAGATATACATTATAATTTGTCATCAAGAAGAGAGTTGGCTATGTTTGAATGCAGATCGGGCGGACCGGGTGAGAGTACGGATGAACTGAACTTTGATGAGAACCCATCAAGTCGTGTCCCAAACTAACGGTGTCATCACGTGTTTCACTCAACGTACACATCATCCATTCATCCTAAACAGTGAAGGTATCTGATCTTCTTCATAAATGAAGATGAAAGCTCCAGGCCGGGGTCCATAGTACGTTGGCATTTGGCAACTTTTGAACGAGTTATTATTGAAGTTACGTATGCGCACGTTTTAAGTTCTTCATTTGGCCATCCATTTCGATACCAATATTCAACTGTTTGAAGATAGATTATTGCTGTACATAGCTATGTGTAAATGTATAATCATCGTGAATTCGTCATGGTGGGTAAAAACCATGTTGGTTAGCAAAGAAAAGAAAGAAAACAAACCGAATTTAAGGATCCCCACATGCCATTTCCTAAAAAACGTGGATCTTAGAAATTAAATTATGAGACAATGATCATTAAATTACAATCTTGTTTTACACGCTTTGACCTGGAAATCAGTCATCATTTCAATACAAGCAATTCAATGGAAAAATGACAAAATGACCTTAAATCTTTTTTTTTTTTTGTAAACGGAAGGATCAACGATCAACTGGTGAACCGTTGATTCCACTGTTGGAATCGACCCTTGATTCAATTGCCCAAAACTTATCAATGTTTTTGTACCTATGAGGCTATGAGTCTCTCCCAAAATTTAACACTTGTTTAAACTCATTGGGTATTCCAAAATCCAAAAATGGTTGGGAATATACTAATATGCATGTTTCACAAGTCTCAATCCAATAACCTTTCAAATTGATGTATTGTTTTGATATCAAACTTTATGTGTATATGCATGCTTGGGAAATTGGCTCCCTTAGCTTGTGTTGCACTGTTGTTTAGGGCTGAGCACGGGTCGGGTCTGCATACCCCAAAAACAATAAATAAAACATTTCTCCCCTTATTTGAAAGATCTTATATTATTTTGGTAAGTTTTTTTTTACAACGTCAAGCACAATGTGTAGATTTAGACATTGTAGTTGACATTGCAGAGAAAAACTTACCAAAAACACATAAGACCGTGGAAAGACGGAGAGAGAAATGTCATAAATCAATTTTTTGTATCTATCTATCTATCTATCTATCTATCTATCTATCTATCTATCTATTTCATGTCACATGTGCATCGGGCACGGTGTAGTATTGGAGATGCTCTAGTGAATGAAAAATAAGGGATGTGTTTCTTCCTTATTTATTTATTTTTGGACCACATGTTTTTGAGGTCTTTTTGGACATTTATTTTCTTTATATTTTATCAGGTTATTTATTTAATGTATCTCTAGTCCTACAAATCATTTGTAGGACTAGAGATCAGTGTTCTAAAAGGCCTAAAAAGGCGCCGCCTTGGCGGGCCTAAGCGCAAGGCGTCACCTAAACGCCCCGCATCGCCCAAATGCGCGAAGAAAGGCGGCCCACAGAGGGTCAGCCCATTCTTTTAACTATCAAGCCCATAGGCAGCCGTCCACAAGGATGAGGTCTACTGCCTTACAAAGAATGCGAGAAGAGCTCTTATTTATAGCTTTGTTGGAATGAGAAACATCTATTTCGACCGGTGTGGGAAACAATTATAAGGTTCAGCCATGCAGCACACTTGGAACACCATTCGTATTTTTTTTTTTTGGGATAAACTTGGAACACCATTTGTAGATATTATAGGGTGATGCTATCAACAATTCATAACGTCTAAACTTGCTCAAATTAAATAAATTGCAATCTATTATTTTCATCATCAACATTATTATTATTATTATTATTATTATTATTATTATTATTATTATTATTATTATTATTATTATTATTATTATTATTATTATTATTATTATTATTATTATTATTATTATTATTATTATTATTATTATTATTATTATTATTATTATTATTATTATTATTATTATTATTATTATTATTATTATTATTATTATTATTATTATTATTATTATTATTATTATTATTATTATTATTATTATTATTATTATTATTATTATTATTATTATTATTATAATTATTATTATTATTATTTTGCAATGCTTCCTAATCTGTTATAGTATATGTTCCGTATTAAGGTCAACATCCTTGAATTGGAATGAGATTCGAACATGTGACATCTTCCTTAGAAGTGTCACAGTAATGTAATCAGACTAATAGATAATTGACTATTATTATTGTTAGAAACGTTTATATATTAATGACTAAAATAAAAATTGTTTAAAAGAATGTGAACTTTTAAGTGTACCTTTAGTCATTGTAACTTATATTCAATTTTTGTATTTAAGTGACATGACATGATACTATAATAACACGCAATCATATATTTATACTACTAATATTTTTATCACTATAAAAAGTCTATTATTTTATTTTTCAACTAATTTTTCAGCCTTTTTTAAAAGGGAAATTTTGTATGATATTATCACATATCACATTTATACTCTGATTACTCTCAATACTTCTAGAAAAAATCAAATAAATACTATAAATTACAAACGCCTTTTCACGCCTAAGTCCCGCCTAAGCTCGCCTAAGCTCCAAAAGCTTAAGGCTTGGCCGTGCCGCCTCGGCACGCCTTACGCCTTTTAGAACATTGCTAGAGATACATTAAATAAATAACAAATCCTACAATGATAAAAAACATAACTAGTTATATTATGGAAATTGACATGAGTTTTAGTAATATAGGTAAATTTGGATACAATGATCAATATATTTAGAGTAAGACCATAGTATATACCGACTGTGTTGAAGTGGAAACAAAAATAACGTACGTAAGTATTCATTTCGTTCTATTAAACTTTGCCCAATTTTCTTATTTTGAGTCATCTTTCTCAATTTCATTTAAAGTAAATGAATATGTGATTGAAGTTATTTCTCTGAACTTTGCATAAATCTCAACCGCACAATTTTTTCTTTTTATTATACGTGTAAGTCAAATCTGATCACCTTTTATGGGACAATTTGTTATTATTGATTTGCTCTTAAATAGAAGTAACTATGAAGATGGTTTCAAACTTTCACTATAACTTAACTCGAGTACAAAACAAAAATATACTTGCTCGATCTAATTGGACTGTCAACTTCTTTTTGTGATACCAAAATTGTGTCATATTCTCATTAAAGTAATTAATTTGTGATTTGGTTCATTTATCTCTGCTCTGCACAAACTCAATTATACAATTTTTAATTTACTTATTTCTCACTCAATTCAAAATTGACAATGCAAATGGGTAAGAGGTAATACCAAATACTCCCTCCATACCACAAAATTCTTCCTGATTTGACTTGAATCATAGTTAACGAAAGTGGAAATAAAATAGAAATATATAGTCGTGATTGAGTAGGAAAAATGTAAATAAATTTGCCACACAAAACTTTATAAAAAGGGAAATGAGAAAAAATTGGGACAACCTAAAGTGTCCGTCAGAACCACTAAGAAGAGCTTTATAAAACAGAGGGAGTAATAAACAATTAGATACCCCTATATGAAATATGAGTAAAGCAATGTACTTCCTATGTCTCTGAAAACATAGGAAGTAATAATAATGTAAAAATTGTGTGATTGTGATTTGTGAATAGTTGAGAGAAATGATAGGAACTGCTAATTTCTTGACAAAAAGCAAAATGACAAAGTTTTTCGAACAATAAAAAAAGAAAAGATCACAAAGTTTCAAGTGGCAAAGAGCGTAACATTTAAACTATAGTATGATTTTCTCTCTAAACAAGAATAACTTATTGACATAATGACATCCTGAAGTTTTACTACCATATTTTGACATTATGGAGTTTAAAACACGACAGTATATTGCTATAAAGCTCATGTAGGCTGTGATATCTTCTTTTATGTATTTTTGTGTGTGTTTAATTGTATTGGTAAAAAGATAGAAGAGGAAACGAGAAAGGCTCTAAACACTATTGTAATTTGTAACTATCGAAGAACTAACGTGGTACTCCGAATCTTAATTCAGTGTTTTTTAAGTTCATTGATTTTTTAAATATACTCCGTACTACGGAGTATGTTTTTCCCCCTTCTTTTCTCTTTTCCTTGTATTCAAGATCTTATTCGGCACATTGTTTTTCTTTTGTCAATGTTTTTGTGCCTTAGAAGCTTTTTGTCAATCTCTCATCTATTTCTTAATTTTATTTATTTTTCATTTCCATTTCACTTTTTCATTACACGTGTACCTACACGTTTGTATTTTCTCGCTCATTTATCTCTCCTGTAGAAATCTCAATAGTACATATTATCCTTCGTTCTTTAATTCTTGTAACAGTTTGACTTTCGCGTTTGTCACTTGTCAGTGGACAAATTTGACTGTAATTATATTTAATTATGTATTAGTAAACATTATAAAAAGTTGATAATTTGAAAATTCACAATGATAGGAATTGAATAACACTTTATACGTAATAGTTTGATTATGTATATTAGTAGAAATTCATGGTCAAAGTAAAGTCTGTGAATAGTGCAAAAATCACAATGTTGCAAGAATTAAAGAACGGAGAAAGTACATTTTTTTACATCTCACCTAATTCTAAGTTGGCAAAGTCTATAACAACAAAAGCACATTATTTTCTATACTCAAGTCTCATTTATGATTTCTTTTTCACACATATTCTCACCTAAAATGTAAAAATGTGTGATTTCTTTATTTCTTCTAGGAAAAAAAGCAAAGTTCAAGGATAGGACATTTTTAGTTGGACTTATCTTTGCTGGTATGATTTGATCTGAAATGATTTGACCTGGTCTGATATGATTTGTGTGATAAATGTTTGATCTGTGCGTATTTTATAACAATCGAAATTGATCTAATTTGATGTGATTATATTTGATGTATTAAGTCAAAATAGTGGGAGGTCTCAAGTTCGAAACCTGTTGACACATAAAAGTTCGAAACTCAATGGAGTGAGTTTTATCCTGATTACTCGAGTCCCCATCCCGCCAGCCCCCACCTCTTGGAAAAAAAATTGAGTCAAAATAAAAACGTCCATAAAACTCATCACATACCGACAAGCCCCCAAACAGTGCAAAGATCGCAATTCTCTTAACGCGGAAGTGTAAATTGAGGACAAGACTAGCGGTTGACACGTCTCAAAGCCTCTTTCCACAAACAGCATTGAAGGACCGACGGCAATGTGGAGATTGAATCAAAGTCTTTACTGCTTCACACCACGCCCAAACAGATTATGTTTCTTCCGATCCATTCTATCCTTATTATTAGCCCCATCCCCCATCCCTACTTGCATGTCAGCATCTGTCCACGAAAAAGGGAAGAATACTTCTCAAATCGATCGATCTATGTGATCTATATACGAATAGTAGGTAAACTGTCAAAGTTAAATTCATGCTTTATTTTTAGTGCAAGTGTTCACAAATATATTGTTCGTACAAAGATATTTGTAGTGATAAGATAAGGATGGCTATAATCAGGGCCGGATCCAATGAAGGCAAGCTCGAGGGATAAATGTCCCCCTTTGTGTGTGTACAAGTGTACAACAATACAACATAGTGCTTACAATTCTACATTTACGTATCAAATCACATTCATAATACATTGTTTTTAGTTCCACCTAATTTAAGAGGTTGGTACTTAATTCACACTATCACAATCCTAAGATACGGAGTATTATGTTGTCCTATAGTGAAAAAAAGTAACAAAAATGCTATTGTAACATACTTTTCATATACACTTACACACTCGTGCCTGTGTAGGTTTTTTTGTCTGTATACAGACACAACGTATTTGAAAATATGTTGTGTCTGTATACAGACAAAAAAACCCTACACAGACACAGGTGTGTAAATGTGTGTGAAAAATGTGTACCTCAAGCTGGATTGAAAAAGTAATGGTCTCTTGTACCATTAGTTCTTCAATAGTTACCCTTACGGAGTTAAGGGTGAGTATATCGATTCTGAGTTTAGCTTTTATAAATTTCGGTTCAGTTTGAAATGAGTTGGAAGAATTATTACCGAACAAAAATCTGGTTATTTTTCAGTTTGGTTATGTTCAGTTTATTTCGGTTTGGGTGTGTCAACTTTTAATAATATATGAAGGTTTTATTGAATTTCTTTAGTCCGGTTCGATTGGATTCGATTTTTATCGATTTTGCTTTGGTTCGATTTAATACTGCTTGGAAATAATTCTATCAAATTCAAACCCAATTGCACTTCCCGGTTTCAGTTCGATTCAAAAATTACCTTTTATTCCCCCGCCCTACAAAATTTTGTCTAACTTAGTTGTATCAAAAATCTTTGTACGTATGCCATTTTTCATTTAAAACAATAAATACGTGATTAGAGTTAGTTGTCGTCTGCATAAGTCTCAACCGCATAAATTTTATCTTACTATTCTAGGTGTCAGTCACATATGATTACCTTTTATATATGGGAAAACAGAGGGCATTTTTACATTGAAGTGGTTATGAAGAGGGTTTCTCACTTTAACTTTAACTCAAATACAAGATAAAAATCTACTCGCTTCAAGTAGTTGGACCTTGCCAACTTCTTATTGTTATGCCAATTTTACCACATTCCCATTAAAATAATTAATTTATGATTTTGCTCATTTATCTCACCTCTGCATAAATCTCATCCATACATTTTTTAATTGAGGGAATTTGATTTTGCACCCCACTTTTGGGGTGATATTGGACTTTGCACCCCATTTTGGAAAAAAACTTTGATTTTGCACCCCATTCCACTTAAAATTCCTTTGACTTTGCACCCCATTTAGAAATTTTCTTCACAAAATGGTACGTGTTGGGGTGCAAAGTCAAAATTTTTTGAAAATAAGGTGAAGAGTCCAATATCACCAAACAAGTGGGGTGCAAAGTCAAATTCTTCTTATTAATTTTCTTATGTCTCACTTAATTCAAATTAAGCTGACAATGTCAATGGAATAGAGGTAATACCAAATAATAAACAACGTACTAGATAATACACCGTGTGAATTGAAATAAGAGTAAAACATTGCAACATTATATTCAAAATAGGAATGCTATGTTTTTCTCTCTATGAGTAACTTATTGACATCTTGAGATTCTACTACCATATTTTGGCATTATGGGATTTTAAACATGATAGTATATTGTCATAAAACTTGTGAAGACTTTGAATTCTTCTTTTGTGTATTTTTGTGTGTTTATCTAGTAAAAAAGAAAGAAGATGAAAAGGGAAATGCAGTAGGGTCGGGTGGCGGCAGCGGCAGCGTAGTTACTTTAATGGGAGAAGAATGTAGCGGGGGAGAAGCACTACAAAAAAAATTCGGCTGTAGTCACGGATTTAGTCACGGACCAAATCCGTGACTAAAATCCGTAACTAGAACGCTGTTTTTTTGTAGTGAAGGGCGGGGCGGTTAACGGTCGTATAGTTATTTGCCCGAAATAAGAAAGAAATAGGGGGAGAAGGATGGGGCGATTGTTGCTTGCATGGAAGAAAAAAGAAACACAGAGATAAGGAAAGAGCACAACGGTAGAGGGAAAAAAGATGCTCGCACAGGTAGCTCAGATGGTTAAATGGTGAGAAATTTGAAACAATGACAAAGGTTCAAAACTCGCATCGGTCGTGTGGAGGTTATATGTTGAGTATGTGGTTTTGTTGATGACTAACCATGTAGGTAGAACGACGTACAGAACCGCTCCAGTTCCGTAAACTACGAAGAATAGAACTATTCGTTCACTAACCATGCAGGTGGATAATTAAACTGATAGGACTACGAAGGGTTCTAATATGAACTCTGGACAGAACCGTTCCATGAAATACTCGTTCCCATATTAGTTACGTATCTGCATGTGCATGTCTTTTGACGTATGATATTTTGCGTGCATTAATATATTTCCATAATTGATTGGATATTCTGTTGAATGTATTGATTCATATTGTTATTGAAAGTTCTCTGAATACCTTTAACTAGTTGTCCGTAGTATTTGAATTTGATATACAAAAGGTCTTCTTGCCTAATATGGTAATTGAAATATTTTTGGTGGATTGCATAACATATGATTTGATTGATCATTGCATTAAATAAATACTTTACTTTTTGGAAGCTGCCGTAGGAGTCATATGCTTTTTGAAATAATTATTTGCTTACCATTCAAATTGAGAAGCCATCATTGCTTGCTTTTAAAAATAATCATTTTTAATAAAGAAGATCGTTGCATGATTTGGCCTCCTTTTTCTTGGTGGAAATATCAAACGAAAGTTCCTTTTTTTTTTGAATACTCTCTCTTTTAAAAGGAAATTGGTTTCAAATAGGAAATCCATATTTTGGCTAAATATTTTCCTACCTTTTTGGGATTGACCATAGTTCGGATTTTCCCATTAAGTGATCATCACTCAAGATTTAAATGAGTAGCACTTTATACGTGATTAATATGCTACTAATGTGATATTTTGAATGTCTTAAATTGGCTACCTAATATATTGAGTTTGGATTTGGGAAATATTATGAAAGGAAAACAATTCAAAATAACAAGGCAAGTCCCAAGATTAGAAGATCATCTATTCAAAGGAAGAATGCTCCAACGGATTTAAGGTAGCCTATATATAATCGAAGAAGCTAAAGAGAAAGGTGTGTGCTGGACCGAGAAAATATAAAGAGAAATACTCAAGAGAAATACCAAGTCCAAGGCATCTGACCCTGCTCCCGAAGTTCTAGACAGAGTTCTTATTCCCTTCTTATATTGTAATTGGGTTATTGAGGACGAGCTAAGAGTAGCTTCCTCGGGTTGGGATCAAGTGTGTTGTGAGGGCTTTGCTGTAAAGCCGAGAGGCTCTCTACCCGCAAGGTAGAGAAGCGAAACTCTTCCTAGAGAGGATAGAGTTGGGGAGGCTCAAGGGTAGATTAGGAGAATCACTCTTGTAATCTTTCAAAGGCTTGTTTAGTGAAGTTGTTTAAAATTCCTCCGAGGGAGGTCGAGGTTTTTTAATCCCTTTTGAGCCAAGGGATTTTTCCTCGTTAAATCCTTGTGCACTTTACTTTTCGCAATTCCCTTTACCCCACACTAGAACTAGGCGAAAAACTGCTAGGGTTCCACACACACAGACAATTCACCCCCTCTCTTGTGTTGCTAACCGTTTTCATCATTATAACTCCTGTGTGCTGGGCTAGACCTCTGATGTGCACATGTATAAGACCTACCACCATTGGTCGACTGAGTCACCGTGACTTACATCTTCCATATGTCTTATCGGGTCGGGGCGTGGGGTCCTTGGAATTGGGGATTCAATGTTTTGGAACAACAAACAAATTAAAGATAGGAAAGTGAGAAAAGAAAAAGAATAACGACTCCGTGTATGAAATAAGACACCTAAATTGTCACATAATAAACACGTTAACCGACAAACAGGGTCTTTATGGACTTCACCTTTTAAATGGTACATTTGAACATGTTTTTTACTACGTACAATTTATGGTCATAATTGAGTGTTTTTGAGCTCCAAAACTTAATACGGAGTATATTTTTGTATATACTATGAGGTTATATTTGATAGTTTTCTCTAGGGGTGGGCGCGGTCCGGAACGGTCCGGTAAATTAGTAAAACTCGTAATGTATTCGTGAGGTTTCTAACGGTCAGGTACGGTCCAGTTCTAAGGATGGAACCATTCGGTTCCATGTTGTTTCGGACCGATATAAAACGGTACAGCACAATGTCAAACAAGTGCTAAAAAATTGGAAACATTTTGCAATTAGTAGATATCATCACACCAACCAATTCACATAAAATGTTACAAGATATTGCTTACGTAATACTACAATTCTACAATTCACAAATAATGCAACACAACTAAAAAAAGTATAGCAAAATGACGATAAACGAGATACATATAATCTTTAATTTACAAAGTTCACTTGAAAATATAAACATAAAATCATCAAATTAATGAATATAACAGAAAAAATCAATGTTCTTCATTGTTCTAGGTTAAGTATTAGTTCTAATTAAATTAATAGTTGAACCGCGGGAGCTAAGATTTAAACCATATTAATTAAGTTGTAAAATTGCACAAACGTGATACACTACATTACTAGAAATGAATAGTTATTAATGATTTCTAAAACTTTAACATTCTTTTAAAACATACCCAAATATAATACTCCCTCCGTCCCAATATAAAAGGCACATTTGCGTTTGGGGACTTTTTAAGGGTGAACACTGTTTGAACACTATTTGGCACTGTTTAGACACTGTTTGGCACTGTTTGGACACTGTTTGGCACTGTTTGACACTGTTTTGTTTGCCAAAAAGGGAAATGTGCCTTTT